CTTTTTCCCTATTTATAAGCCTGACACTTGGCGCTAGGGGACACCACGCGCGTCCCCTCGGCTTCCCCTCGTGCCCAAAGATCAAGCACGCCCGTCGATTTTCCATCTCCCTGCAGCCTACTATCTTGTCGGGCATCCATCACTCCTGGCCACGCGCTCATCCCGAATCTGTATGCCAAACGAGTTCTCGACACTCTAACTAGCTCTTAAGTCATTACTCCTCCACTTATGAGCAACGACTTAGGGGGCTCTTGTTCTGGGCTGGGTCGAGACCTGCCCCTCAGTCGGGAAAGGCCAACTTAATACTACGTTAGGGAGGTCCAACAAGGCCCAAGTACCCCTTTTTCGAGCATGCATCTCAACAAAGCCCCTTAGTCGAGCATACCGTTACCAATTACAGAGAGAGCTCACGCGTTTTCCCCATGTTCCCCATGCGGGGACACGTCATCAGGCAACTACCCGTATCCTAAGGAACCGGTCTTCCACCTTCCGAAGATCACGGGGCAGTTGGACCAGGGTGAAGACCACATGCTAGTCTTCCATACACCACATAAACCCTGGCAGTTACTTGTGTTAGGCCTGACAATCTAGCTCAATGTAAATTGACTGTTGGCCCAGCGCTGGGGGCACGCTATAAATACCCTCTTTCACTAGAGGGTCATATATTCTATTCTCTACACCTATCTCTCTGTACTTGCGTTTTCTAACTCCGCTACTCACTTAAGTATTAGAGTACCTTGCAGGTACACCTCCTCCTCCTCCACTACACCGGTGATCACAAAAGCTCACGACACGTGGTAGGCTGCTGATTCGTTTCTGTCAGGTAAGATCAAATAGTATTTTATTTAAATTAATTAAATAAAATAATAAAATAGGAGTTTTGGACCATTTGTGAGAATTTTAAGAAATAATGGGGAGCAAGGAGTTAGGGAGTTTGAGGCAATTTTGTGAATTAAGAAAATTAAGGGTCGGTGAGATAATTAGAAAGAATTGCATAGAAAACCCTAAGGATATCTTAGGAGTAAGAGAAAATTAGTCTAGTTTCATCAGTACGTGAAAAGTGAGACAAGAGAAAGAGAAAAAGTTGGGATTTTGAAGAGGGAAACCACAGAAGTTGCTTGATTCATCATCAACTGCTGGAAATCTAAGGTAAAGGGGAGAAAGGGATACCAATCCGGGTGTATTGCATGAAGGGTAGAGATGAGAGGTCCTTACTCTCTTTAAGGCAATTGGGATTTGATTGATTCTAAACTTTCTATGAATTTTCAATATTGTTGGTTGTTCTAATGATGAATTTCATGTGCCTATGTATGCACTATCTTCTGTTTTGAGATATGGATGTTTTCCACCATGTTTGAGGGTGTGGAAGGTTTTGGGGGTAAACATAAATTGAATGAATTGCATGTTAGTCATAGGTAAATGACGTATTGTTCATTAAGATGTTAAGAGATGATAAAAATCTACACGTTTTCATGTACAATGATGTATGGTATGTTTTGGGACTGTTATAGGTCAATACTTAGGGTTTTGGGTCTAATGAATGGTTGAAAAACAAGAGCGATCACACAAAATCGTGAGCAATTTGGGGGTTTCTGGGCTCTGCTACGGGTTGTGGCATGTGCTACAGGCGACCACAACACCCTTCTATTTATGTACCAGGGGCGTTCCCAAAATGGGGGGTTTTGTCCACCACAATTTTGATTGTCTCTATAAGAAAGGTCCACCACAATTTCGATTGTCTCTATAAGAATAAGTTTCAAATGATCTAGTTTAAACTTCCGAAGTTGAGATACATGAAACCCATCATAAAGTTCAAGTAGGGGAAATGGTAATGCTAATTAGTAAGCCACTTTTCCTATTTGACTTATGATTTGATAAGGTCCAATATACCAGAGACTTAACTTTTTTGTCTTTAATGGTCCCTTTAACCTTAGTTTAGGGGTGAGTTTCAAGAATACATGATTTCCTTCATCAAATTTGCAAAGTTTCATGTGCCGATCCGTCTAGATCTTTTGACGTTCATGATATTTCTTCATTTTCTCTTGAATTACCCTTACTTTTCTGTGGTCTCTTGAGTTATCTCAGGTCCTAGAATTCGTTTATGTCCTACTACTGCTCGACATTAAGTTGTAAAACACTTCCTCTCATGCAAATATTCATATGATGCCATCCCAATACTATAATAGTATCTATTATTGTATTCAAATTCAATCAACGGTAGATGTTCATTCCAACTTCCCCCATCTTATAGGATACAAGCCCTTAACATATCTTCAAATGTTTGAATGACCCTTTCTATTTTACCATCTAATTTCGGATGGTTGGCCATGTTAAGATTCAATTTGGTTCCCATGGCATGGTGAAAAACCTTCCAAAATCTATAAGCGAGCTTTGGGGTTCGATCAAACATAATGCTCATTGGTACGCCATGTAGTCTTACTATCTCGGCAATGAAAAGTCCTGCTAAAAAGAGAACTCTATAGGTAGTCTTAACTGACAAGAGACAAGCCAACTTGGTTAGCCTATCCATTATCACCCAAATTGAATCATGACCACCAGGAGTACGAGGCAACACCACTATTAAATCCAGGGAAATACTTTCCTACTTCCATTATGGTATTTATACTTGTTGCAACATGCCATCGAGTCTTTGATGCTCAAATATTCACCTGCTGACATATTATACATTTGTCCACAAATTTTTATATTTCTCTCTTTATTCCAGACCATAAGAAATATCCTTTCAAATCATGATACATCTTAGAAGAACCATGATGAGTTCTGAAATGTCTCTTATGAGGTTCTTCTAGAATCACCTCACCCTCTTCAGTTTCAAATCATTCGGGACATAAATCCTTCCCTTAAATAGAAGAACTCTATCCACCGATCATGTGAATCCCCATTGATTGATTTTAGTTTATAAATCTGCATTCGACAACTCTATTTGTCTCACACTCTCCCTAAGATCACATAGAATATTCATTTAACTTTTTAAGACTTCTTCCTAGGTCCATTTGAAATTTAGGTCGAGATTTCGGAGCTTCTATAGAAAATTATATTTTAACATCATTAACTTTGATGCATGTAACTTCTTTCTACTTAATGAATCTTATACCTTATTGGCCTTCCTATGGTGGTACTTTGATTTGAAATCATAGTCCTTCATAAATTCCATTCACCTTCTCTGTGTAAGGTCTGGAATAATTAAAACATGAGCAGTGGTCAAAATATTTTTTAACTTTTGAAATATTCGCTCGTATTCAAAATCCCATTGAAATTAGGTCTCCTTGCGAGTCATTTGATTCAACGGTAGAGCTACCTATGAGAATCCCATGATGAATTTTCAATAATAACTTGTGAGTCCCAAAAAAACTCCTTACTTAAGATATATTTTGGGTCTTTCTCAATTCAACACTATTTCTCGTAAAACTGAAAGTATAATCCTAAGATGCTCAAGGTGCTCTTGCAGAGTCTGAGAGTAAATTAGGATGTTGTCAACGAAGATTACTATGAGCTTATCAATATATTAAATTGAAATACATGGTTCATGTAATCCATTAAAACTGTCGGTGAGTTGGTCATTCCATATGGAAATTCAATTTCTCTTCTAGTAGGTAGAAAAGTGGCATCCTCTAAAAATACATATGAAAATTCTTCTAATGGTGTGATGTAAGAGATGTTCCCTCCGGTATGGGTATATGTGGTAAGTATTAAGAGAAAAATTGTGTTTCGTTTAAAGAGACAGTGAATCATACGAATAATACCTTCCAAGAGTGTTGAAATAACTTCATCTTGCATCTCCATATCTTTTGCTATGAAAATAGATTTCTCATTGCAGCCAATATACACCAAATTGACAGAGAGCCAATCGATTCCCAACACCACATTTATCTTCTTGAAGAGTAGACATATCAAATCAACTAAGAACGTTTGCTCATTCATGATTATTTGACAATTTTCACACACCCAATAAACTTTTACATTACTATATTTGGTTGTAGTGACTACCATCGAATAAGATGGTCCAATTACTTCTAAAGCAAGTCAGTCTACATATCTAGTTGAAATAGAGGAGTGTGACGCTCCACACTCAAAGTGTACAAAAAGTGGTTGACTATGCATATAACACATACTAACAATGAGGTCAGTGTTCTCTTTTGCCTTCTCATTCTCTTACTAGCATGAGCATTTGAGTGCTAAACTTAAAAATCCACCCTCACGTCGTGGTAGTTGAGATCCACTCAACTATAATCGCCAAATATTTATAATTCTCCAACATAACATTGTTATTAATAATTAAAAATACTCAAATTTTTTCTAATAAATACATATTAACTTCGTTAAATGTGAATAATTGTTTAGTAATATTAAATACACTAATAGAAATTAGATGAGTTCTAATACAATTAAATGTTATGCATTCCGTCTTAAGTTAAGTATCTTTTTGTCTTTTACAAATTTTAAAGATGATAATCATTTTGATTTCAATAATAAAATGCTCGTTGTTTACTATAAATAGTAGAATAGTTGAATTAATTAAAAGATGGAAATTTGAATAGACTCTCATATTACATGAGATGAATCATTCCACCAAGTAAAATATGAGTTACATTGTTACACGGTTCCTTCGTTCATACCAATTTTGGTTTGAGTTAAAATCTACCAAATTTAGGATGGTAAACAATATGAAAAATTCCATTCTAATTTGGATGATTATCCACACATGCATGTTTGTATTACTCATTCCAATTCTAAATTATCAAAACTCATTACAAAAAAAGAAACATATATCTCATTAATAATTTGACAAGTTCTTAAAAACAATTATGAATTTTTCTAATATATTAAAATAACCATATATAAAAATATAATATTCTAATACAAGTTGCCAATTGCATTAGTGACCGCCATGTCTACCGGTCAGAGAAAACGTTTCCTGTTCTCTTTATAAATACCAACCACTTAGCCTTTCTTTTCAAAACACATTCACAATCACAATCATGTCTCTATGGTTCATTGCATTCTCCACTTTCATATTATCTATCTTAATATACCGTTTTCTGAAATTTGCAACAAAATCTTCTTCTTCTTCTTCACTACCACTTCCACCTGGACCAAAACCATGGCCTATAATAGGTAACATGCCACACTTGGGCCCTGCACCACACCAATCTCTTGCAGCCTTGGCTGAAACATATGGCCCTTTGATGCACCTCAAATTAGGGTTTGTCGATGTTGTCGTGGCCGCTTCCGCCACCGTGGCTGAACAATTCTTGAAGGTTCACGACGCAAACTTTAGTAGCCGGCCACCGAACGCCGCAGCTAAAAATATGACTTATAACTATCAAGATCTTGTGTTTGCTCCTTATGGTCCAAGGTGGAGATTGCTCCGCAAAATTTCTTCCGTTCATCTCTTTTCCAACAAAGTTATGGCCGAATTCCAACATTTACGTGAGGTTAGTTAATATCACCCGAATTTAAACTGAGTTTTATTCTGTATGTGAGTTTCATCTTCTGATAAATTTTAATACAAATTAAAAATCAATTAATATTTAGTTTCTAGTATTAGATATTTTTGGCTTGAAATGAAAATAATCTTGATAAAAAAAACAAAACTATTTGAAAGTGGGACCTACCATCCATGCTAATTGATGTGATGTGAACAAAGTTGAACTTTTCTTAAGAGCCGGAAGAAAAAATAAACTTTCAATGACCGGCTTATAACATATAAAAAGTCAGGTGTGTGACTTTTTTCTTTAATTTCTTGACCAAAATTTTTTTTCTAATGATTTTTTTAACTTTTTAGAAAAAGTCATTATCAAGTAAAATCTCATGTTAATTCTGTTTATCTTTGCTATGATGATATCATACATCATTGTGCTTATTTCTATATTAAAAAGTCAAAATTTAGGTTTTCTTTTAATTATTTTGGTTGAAACTTTTATTACACAAGTGTGAAAGCTTAGTTTCTCATTATTTTCTTAATCAAAAAGTCTATTATAGAAGTAAAACCTAACTAATTACACTTTTCAGGAAGAGGCAGTAAGATTGACAAATAACTTGGCAAGTAACTATTCTGACACAAAAGCTGTGAAATTGGGACAATTATTGAATATATGCACAACCAATGCACTTGCTAGGGTTATGTTAGGAAGAAGAGTATTCAATGATGAGAATGGTGGTAATGATCCTAAAGCTGATGACTTCAAGGATATGATTACTGAATTGATGGTGTTGGCGGGAGTTTTCAACATTAGTGACTTTATTCCTTCATTGGAATGGTTAGATCTTCAAGGAGTTCAAGCTAAAATGAAAAAGTTGCACAAAAAGTTTGATGCATTTTTAACCAATATTATTGAAGAACATGATAATTCCAATTCTAAGAGTGAGAAACATAAGGATTTGTTGACTACTTTATTGACACTTAGAGATGAAGGAGATGATGATGGAAATAAACTTACTAATATTGAGATCAAAGCACTCCTTTTGGTATGTTAACTACTATTCTACTTATTATTATTCAATTATTTAATCGGTCGAATTTTACTGTATTTTTGCATTTGATATATTTTTCATTATTGCATTAAAGATTAAACAATTTAAAGTGTGTTAAAACGACACTGACATTCACTATAATTTTAAAATATACGTTAACATTTGTAAATTTATATATATTACTAAAACTTTTTAAAGACAGATAAAAATCGTAAATAAATGTTAACTATATACATGAAGTTTTTGACTGACACTAAAAGTTAGAGGAGGTGCCACTGTTGTTGTATGCATGAAATGATTGCATTATCATTTTCGTTTAAACTCTTACCTAACACTGAAACAGTGACACCTTATCTAAAATTCTACTTGAAAGTTAAAACTAAATTTTATAAAGAAAAACACCAACCAACATGCATTCCAATCATTTACTTAAGAAACATAAAACTTTTTTTTTTTGTTAATCTTTTAATTCTTTCCTAATAGCTACACTTACCACTCGCATTGCACTAAATTGTGATTCAATAGACTTCTATTACTAAGAGCTATACATTTTAATAAATCTAAAGTACTATATAGTGCCACCATAAATTTAACTATGATCATCTTGATTATAATTTTCTTTAAGTTATAATTTCACTATTAAAAATAGATAAATAGAGTGTTGTGGATTAGAACCTATTATTTTCTTAAAACTAACAATTGAGTTATACATAGGGCGAGCTAAATTATATTTTTCTTTAAAATTGAAGTTTTAATAAAATATATATACTTACAACCTGTTTGATTATTTGTGTAGAACATGTTTGCAGCTGGGACAGACACGTCATCAAGCACCACAGAATGGGCTATTGCAGAATTAATCAAAAATCCAAAAATCTTAGCCCAAGTCCAACAAGAATTGGACAATGTTGTAGGCCGAGAAAGAAATGTGAAAGAAGAGGATATACCTAACCTACCTTACTTACAAGCAGTGATAAAAGAAACATTTCGTTTGCATCCATCAACACCTCTTTCACTTCCAAGAATTGCTTCCGAAAGTTGTGAGATTTTTGGGTACCATATTCCAAAAGGTGCAACTGTTTTGGTTAATGTATGGGCCATAGCTCGTGACCCAAAACAATGGGATGACCCATTAATGTTCAAGCCTGAAAGATTCTTACCAAATGGTGACAAGTGTGATGTTGATATTAAGGGAAATGATTTTGAAGTTATACCTTTTGGTGCTGGTCGAAGAATTTGTGTTGGGATGAATCTTGGGCTTCGTATGGTTCAGCTTTTAACTGCTACGTTGGCCCATTCATTTCATTGGGAACTTGAGAATGAACTTAAAGCTGAAAAGATGAACATGGATGAAGCTTTTGGACTTACTCTTCAACGAGCTGTGCCATTATCTGTGTACCCTAAGCCTAGGCTCTCGCCTAATGTGTATTCATCTTGTTTTTGATCTTATACATTTACTTTTGAGAATTTTTCTTTTTCGAGAGACACTCTAGATTTTTTTGTCTTATTATCTTATGCTTAACTATAATAATAATGTAAGTAAAATATTGTGTGAGGATTCCTTTGAGCGATATATTATTTCTATTTTGTCCATTCAATCATGTAATGATTGTTATTCCTTTGAGCAATCCATGTTCATTTGCTTCGGAATCCAACGTTAGTATGGTGAAGTAATGACATGTCAATCAATCATACTAAATTTTCGATCATGGTGTTTTGACTGGATGAAATTGTTGCATTAAGGTTCATGACGACACAAGGGTTGTGATATCAAAGAGGTTTGTGATTAGGGTTGTGACGGAACAAAAGTTGTGTTACGATGTTTATGGAAAGTATCAAGTGTTTATGGAACCCCCATCTGCTGACCGGGCAGTGGGACCCCGACTACTCTTCGTAGTGTGATCATTTGCCGAAATTTTATTTGATTTATTTAATTAACAGGATTTAAATTAATAATAATAATAATTTGTTTATTATTGTTCTCTTGTGGTGATCATTTATGGCCTTAGTTTTCCTTTATTTTGTTTTGGGATTTTAAAATACAACCTACATGTTGTGCCTCTCTTTTAATCTCTTGATGTAACTTCTTTTCTCATCTCACTCTCTCGCATGTAAAATGAGTATTCTTTAATGTAATATAATATTATGAAGAAAGAGAAGAATACAATATCAAAGGAGGACAACCTTGGAGATCTTGCTTGGAGAAGTGAAGATCGTTATTAGGTTTAACTTAGGTTCTCTCATTGGCTTAGGAGAACAATTGCGCTAGGGGGCATAACTGTTTCATTTTGTATGTATGTTGATGCATGGGAGTGACAATTTATATGATAAATAAGCCGGTGAGATCAAAATAATTGAAAATTCCCTCAAAATTTGAATATTAAGTTTATGTTTTCCAAGTTTTAGAACTCATCAAGATTAGTATCGAATAATGTAGATTTCACCTAACGTGAGGTGCATGTTCTATATTGGTAAAGTGCATTGGGATAAACGTAATATCCAATTTGTAAAACAATGGGTCAAACTTAACTAAACAAATTATAATAAGATTATGTACGTTTAGAAGTAAGAGTTAGGAATGACCATATGATGGATTAAAATAAGGAGTTATTTGCTCAATTGAAAATATTAGAGAATTGTATTAGATACAATTGGAAGGAGCTCATACCTAAATAACTGATTTTTGTGAAATCAGCCTAACGCTGACTTAAACAAAGTGAAATATGGACAAAACTAACTATAACAGATAAACCACAATTTCAAAATTACTTACGATTTGAGAAATGGTGCTAAGTAACATTATTTTCCCCCTTGACTTAACCGTTCTGAAATGTAAGAGTCAATCCCTTTTGGATCATTATTTGACCATCGAATACTATACGGATCCAAGATGCCATAAATATTCGATATATTTAACTCTATAATGACATGCATGTTCAATTATATACATACGTGCACCAAACTTGCAATATCCATACATCCAGCCAATTATTTCCAAGGAGAAAATATCATATGTCACTAAGAGTAGAATAGAAGAGCTATACCGTTGGACAATCCTCTAGCGAAAGTGAAATCGGGTCATCGCTTTCTGCAACCAACAGGTATAATGTGGTGATTTCATGTGCGAAAGGATTCAATATCTCATTTCCTCTTGAATGGGGGTGGCAGAACACTTACATCCTTTTGTGCTAGCATCACATATAACATTTGTTTGGGCAACTTGATCATCAACATTATCATCATTTCCATTCGTACGTTGTTAGAAACATCCACTTATTCTCTGCAACATAATATTCGTTTTGAACACAATACATAATTTTTCTATCTTTTCTAACTTTTTAGATAAACCACAATATATCATACATTTAAGATAAAACACTAGTATTTCAGATAAAATACATACCGCATATAACTCTTCTAACTTTTCCATGTCTTTCCTCTGATTTTCTCGCTCCGCTTCTAACATCTTCCTCTATTATTCTAACCCCTTCTCAATAGCTACGATATTTTCTTTTTGCGCTTGTAATTTGGTGTTTTCAACGCTTTTTTTGGTTGGACCAAAGAACAATCTTAGGCCGACGCCTTCTCCAACACAATGAACGCGCCCATCATGCTCATCTATTCTGATAACTTCTATTAGTATATCATGTTGTGGTTCTGGAACAAATGAGCCTCTACGAGCCTCCTTAACCAACAAATCCTACATAACATGGATGATAATATTAATATCGTAATTACAACAACATTTAAACAACACATAATTGATAGGTGTCAAGTTTAGAATGGTTTTCGTATCAATATGGCACTTTTAAGCTCTTTTTCATACTACTGATTGTGAAACAGATTATTTATTAAGTGCTTCTTACATCAATTTATATGTTTGGTATTTTTAATATTTTTGTTAGTTTTGCAGCATATTTTGTAAAACGGGTGCGGCAAAAATCGAAAGAAAAAGCAAAGAAACGAAGAAAGTCGTGTGTCAAAGAAATCAAGACCTTTACCTAGAGAAGGAGAGACGAAAGGGAAGTTTCGCCCGATGAAGGCCTGGCGAAAGACCAAGTGAAAGAAGATTGAAATTCCAATAGCTACTGGAATTGGTTCGTTGGCTGATTCGCCTGGCAAAGGAGAGGCGAAAGGGATTCACCCGACGAAACTTTATTTCGCTTGGAGAACTCAGATATTTTTTCCAGCTTGTTTGCACTATTGCTGTCACGTGGCTGTACTAAAGGATTTCTCCCGACGAATTTTGTGGCTGGCCGGACGAAGTTGCCTGGGCAGAACTTGTGTATTTTAGTACTTTGTGATATTTTTTGGGACATAACTTACTTTTTAAGAATCTTTTGTAACCTAGAAACTTTTGTGAAGAGAAAAAATGTCATCTTCATTTCTACTTAAATATCCAAGCTTTTAAACTTCAATCTTTAATCCTTTCAAGTTTGATGCTCCAAAAGCTTTGTTTGTTACTTGTTTCTCAAGCTACCATCGTTAATGGTAGCTAAATCTCTCCTTGTGTCAAGATTAGAGGTAGATAATTCTCACTTTTGCATGTATTTCTCTTGATATGTGTATGTGAACAAATTGATGATGAATATATGGTGAAAAACCTTATTTTTATTGTATATTTATGTTGGAGTATTATTGAGAAATATGTTTCAACTATTAACCTAGTTTTTTCATCTTTCAATAAACAAAGTCTAGATATGGTTTTGTGAGTTAATATACACTAATATTATACCTTTAATGTTATCATATTGATAGTTAGGTTGAGAGATCATCTAAGGATCAATATGATAAAAATCACAATTTGTTTTAGATATGAAATATATTGAGAGGATATGTGATTATATTTGTTGTTAATGAGTTCACATGCTTTGTTAAGAAAATGTGTATGAAAAGGATTATCGAGCCATAATCTTGACATGGTTTTACCAATCGTTTAAAACCAAAACTTTTTACCGTTGATTATAATTTTTATGCAATCGATGCGTTACGAAATCAAACCAACCACTTTTTATGTTTTGTTTTTAACGATTTCAATTGTAGAACGATGGTAATATCACACAATCCCTGCGGATGCGATAACAAAAACCCACACTGACACTGTTTCAAGAAAATGGCATTGTTACCGGGGATTATTGTTTGATATTGCAAGCATTGCAATAGTTGATATGTTTTAAACTTTGTTTATCTCATTTACTCTTTCTTGAGCATCTTAATTTGATTGGTTAAGTTTTGCAGACTCTATTTATGCAAGGAAAGTTACCTGCAGATTAACTTCTTTTCGATCCCGAGATTGAGAGATTTGTGCGTAAGTTGAATAGCAAAACTAGACGGAGGAGGCAACTTGCCAAGGAACGACAAGAGAGAGGAGAAAGTTATATTTCTACACCAACACATCAGTTTACGCCAATCATGGTAGATCCACCACCACCACCCCTTGCTTCAACACCACGTGTCAACAGTCTGAGGCACCCTGCTCAGTTTGCATACAATGTCCAAAATGGTATACATCCGAAAATGGGAATTCTTTCACTTTAATACCAAAATCCTTTTACTGGTATGGATCATGAAGATCCGTTCACACATCTCACAAAATTCTATGAGATTATGGATGCAACGGGAGCGCCGAAAGCTGACAAAAGTCATTGCTCAAGAGACTATTTTTGTACTCCTTAATCAGGAAGGCAAAGGAATGGTTCCTTGATCAATCCAGTTTGGTGATGAAGGACTGGAATGTGTTAGAAGAAAAGTTCCTTGATCGATTTTTTCCATACAATCATTTTATGGAAGAAAAGATGACAATTACGGTATTCATTCAAGGCGGAAATGAATCTCTCAATGAAGCTTGGGAGAGGTTTAAATCCATGTTACAAAAATGCAAGGGTCACGGTTTCAATGAATTAACACAAGTGCACATCTTCAGAAATGCGATCCAATATGTTCACAAAACTTTGTTAGACGCTACCGCAGGTGGATCGTTAATGACAAAAAGTGCGGAAGATGTGGTAGCCATTATTGGTAAGATGGCATTGAATGATCACCAAGGAAATCAAAATCATGGTACTCCTCAACAAAAATCGGGAATGCTTGAATTGGGGACTAACAATGCTATTCTTGCTCAAAATAAATTGCTATCCCAACAAGTGGAATTGTTGACTCAACAAATGTCAAAACTTCCACAACAACTCAAAGAGATGCAAGAATTGCCAAGCAATAATATGCAAATAACCATTTGTGAACTATGCAAAAGAGATCACCCCATTGGTTATTGTTCTCCGGTTAACGAAGAAGCAAATTTCATGGTTAATCAAGGCTATAAAGGAAGACAACAACCTTATCAAAATAACACTCACCAAGCTTATCAAAACAACCAAGGTTACCAACAAAGAGGGAACGATCCTGGTTATCAACAAGGTTATCGTCAAAATCCCTATCAACCTACAC